TTAAGCTGTATGAATGAACTTCACTTCTTTGTGGGTCGATGTGCGCGCTTTGTGATCATGCTAGGTTCTCGAGGTCACGCATGCTTTATCTTGTTTCATAATACAGACGTTCGTATTACGATGATGGATAGATGTAAGTTCGTTTTTAGATTATTTCCATCACCAGTAATTGGGATGACATGCATGGACCCCTGTAGGTCATACTTTCTTATGACGCAAATTACTCTGTAGGTCATACGGTGACCATCTATGTCTCGACTCCATAAGCGACATTTGGCCCAATACGACGAACTGTTTCAGATGACTATGATTTGGAAGCCGCATAAATGAGATGCATTGGGTCAAACGAGATCATAATTTTGTATTATGCTTTTGGGAGACGAGCAGATCCCCTCAAACTTTTCCACGATAACTTCTGAACGGCGCGGCGTAGCTGGACAGAGGTTTAATAGCTGTAGGCAGTTGAAAGGCCGACCCTTTGGTATAAAAGTGTAAGATTGTTAACCTTGTCTTACCTATCGCTGGCATATGACAGCTCAAAGTCGGATTATTGCTTTCAGCGAAGGCAACTTTAGAGAACTGTTCAATCTGATGCAGAAATGGAGTGTTGGATGTCACAGTGCTTGGATGGTTCCTTAAACAATTATAGAACCGAATGTGAGGTAATGGTTAATATCATCGACCTTTGATTAGGTATGAAGGTCGGACAGATGTCAAAAATAGGCTGATCTTTCAATGGAGAAAGTGTTTATGGGACAGCTTCTGACGGCTGTTTCAACTTTGTTGATCGCAGGGGTGTCAACAGACACCTGATTTGGGTTCACAGCGGTAAGAATGTTTTAATGACCCTGCACAAACCCTATCAACCGTTGGCTTCTATGAGCATACGGCTTTTCGTAATCCGCGACGTTAATTTAAATACAAAAAACAAAACAATCTTGCAGGTTTTTGGTCACCTGACTTTCTGAAGGTCAAAAAAGGCCATAAAACTGAAATGAACGCCTTTGACTTCTTGTTTGGGAGACGTATCTAGCTTAGAGGTGATTGCATGTAGAGGTCTGAGGCCTCCAGCCAGGTCTGCGGGCCCTTCATGCTCTTCAATCAGGTCGTTGATTGTTTGTCCCGACGGGGCCTGACAGGGCCCTCGCGAATTAGTTTGGGAATGCTCTCATGCTCCCTGTGTCCTCTGCCTGCGCCTCTGGCCCCAAAACATCGTCATTGGTGGTGATAGTGAAGTGAAATGGGGAGGCTAAGTAAGAAGCAGATATTACTTGTCGGCCAAAATCCTGGTTTGCGATTTAAATTAATTATGACGTTTATAAGACATATATGTGCATACATGGAGGAGTAGAGAAGGTGATTTCAGCGCGCCCTGTTGTGGATGCCTCCGTCCAACGTCGTCCCCTTGTTCGCGACCAGGTTGTCTGAGTACTGCAGTAGGTCCAGTAGGACCAGGTCCATGACTACCGCAGTTCCCGTCCTCGTTTGTCGTTCCTGGACTCGCCTTTACTGGGTACATATCTCCAAAATGGTACTTCTGGCAAAATTAAGAGATAAGATAAAGCATACCGTATTAGTTCTTCACATTCACACCGATATGATCCCCTTGCTCTCATCCCTGGAGGTGCCTCTGAGCAAAAAAAAAACAAACAAACAAATCGCTTATCTTCCTCCTGCCAAACATCTGCATAAACCTCCCTTAAAACGCACCTGGGTCGCTCGCCGGTTGAATGCATTGCGTTTGAGTGGAGTCAAGGCTCATGATCGGTTGGAGCGGTCAGCGCTCACATAACAGCCCCCATGCTTAGTGTTCGCTCTGATCCCTGAAATCCATCCAATCGAGATGTTAAGACTAAATCTAAAAATAAATTAAAAAGAAAAAATGGCGGCTCATCGAAAAATTAATTTCTCTAAACACGGCAAGAACTTAGCAGCAGAGCCATTAAGAGCCCTTAGCCGTTATCATGTTAGCATTACCTCAAATTTCAACGCAGGTCAAGCGCCCTTCTAGCAACCTGCTCTAGCCGTTTTTGGAAGGACCAGTAGAAGGTCCGAAGAGGGCCAAATCATCCTTCAACACGGGCTCGGGTGAGGATTAATTTGATGCTTCCAAAAGGGCTTTCCAAATGGCCTTGGAACGGCGCCGCGCAGCCGTGTCAAACTTAGTATAGCTGCGAGCAATTGAAAAACCAAGAATTTGGTTTAAAAAATCGGTATTGCCTTTGAGGCCACTGACCTATGGCACATCAAAATCAAGCCATGCCATGACTCAAGCAAAATCAATTCTTAAGAAATTGCTCAACATGATGCGGTAGCGTAGTGTTAGACTAAATTGCAACACTTTGAGATAGTTTCTTAGACCATTACACTTCTAAAATTAGGATTACGACTAGTTCTATGGACTTTGGATGAGGTATAGAAGTCAGATCAAGTCCTGAGCCAAGCCGCTTTATTAATGAAAAAAACAGCAGTGTTAGACGCCATAATACTACCAGTTGCGTTTAATAATACAATGAGACGAGGGGTTCCGAGGTTTCATCAGAGCATGTTTCTAAATGTGCTCCAAAGAAGGAATGCTCCATTCAAAACCCTATTGAAAGTATAAGGAAATGTCTTAGATTGGCATGTTTTGGGAAATAAGTATGCAAATAATCCGTAAATTAATGCATTATGTCAGTTTTGTCATTCTATACCTTTCCATACGTTTTGCGAGCACAGACTGACTGACAGGCGGACTGATGGATGGCTTGTTAATTGCTATGAGCTCCCGTTTCATGTGTCCAGCCAGCAGTGGTACAATAAAACGTAAGGCTAAAACATTCTCTCGCGGAAGTGTAGCTGCGTCCATGTACAAAAGTTGTATGCTATACTCTTCAAATCACAAGTTTTTCGTTAATAAAGCTCCTTTAAAGTGATGACCTGGAACGTTTTTGCCATACTCATATAGAGTATACCATTAGTAGTTTCCAATTCATCTAGATCCAGAGTGCTCATAGGTTTTAAATCTTGTCCAGTTCTACTCCACATTACTGACAGTTCTCTGGTCCAGTCCAATCCAATCTGCAAATAAGTTCGTGCCCCTCAGTTTTATCCAGGCCGTGAAAGGCATTAGGACACATACTGATCATGGCTTTTGCGTATGTGCCTTTGTTGTAGCCCCATACATTGCATATGTGATCCTTTTAAAACGACTTACATATTTGTTTATCACACATTGTTTCGGGATGCCACATGCCCCACCAGGTTTTCACATTTCTCGCCGCTTATCTTGTCCCGACTGCCAAAAGCCTGCAAATGTATCTGTTGCCAAGGACGCGGGAACTGGGGATGGGGAGCATTGGGGTCAGCGTTTAAAAGTCCATTCTGGTCTGTCGAGGGCTCATTCTGGCCTATCTAAGATCTACTCTGACCAAGAAAGGACGCTTGTGAAGAAGGCCCATTCTGACCTGTAGAAGGCTCAGCATTAATTGTGCAGGGCCCATTACGGTCTGTAGAGGCCATTATTATACGTAGCCCTTTATGAGCTGTAAAGGGTCCGTTATAAGCTGCTAGTTGTTCGTTATCTGTAGAATGGTCCATACCGGCTTGTAGAGAGAACACTATTGACTGGGGTTTTTACCATTGTGGTCTAAAGAGGGACAACTATTGACTGTGGAAGGCCAAGTTTGGCCTGCAGAGTGCCCATTTTGACCCGTGAATGGCCTATTACCAACTGCGGTTGATTCATTCTGGCAAGCACGGGGTCCATGCAGGCTTGTAGAGGCCCTTAATTGACCTAGAACTCCATTTTGAACTGTAAATGGTTCATTCTTACCTTCAGAGGGCCCATTATTGACTTTTGAGAGCCTATTTTGTCCTCTAGAGGGTCCATTCTTACCAGTATGTGACGCATTCTGACCTGTACAAGACAATTATTGACTTAAAGTGCCCATTGGGGCTTGTAGAGGGGCCCACATCTAATCTAACTGGGCCCATTTGGGAAGCTGTTTAGTTCGCCCCCAACTTGAACATTGTTCCCGCGCCCCACTTTGTTGCCTTGCTTTGCAGACATCTATTTCGAGTTTTCCTCTGCACTCATGTGGTTTGCAGATATCGGTCCACAGCTTCGAACCCCTGTTCGTCTTATTCCCAGAAACGCAACATTCGCGTCGTCCCTCGCCCGCCAACCTCACCTTCGACACCCCGCGCAAGGCTGAGATCCAAGGTTACATCGCCATGGATGAGAACGCTGAGACCGCGACACCGCACTCGTAATTCGAAGTAACTGTTAATTGTGTTTTAAGTCGTCACATTCCACGAAGACAGTATAGGTGCCCACAAAACTCACATATTTAACGTAATTCGAACCAACGCTCTCAGGGGCACATGCAGAATTTCACAATAGGGTGTATCACAACTCAAAGCAACAGTCGCGCGAAATATCGTGAGTGTCGTGAAACCACATTCCATGATTTCATTCTCCACCTTTTCAAAAATTCCACTGTTAGGTACGCCTGCGTTGCAATGTGTCTGCTGTGGCCAAACTATGCAACGCGCTAGCGTTTGCAGAGAGAGACAGAAAGAGAGCGAGAGAGAGAGAGAGAGAGAGAGAGAGAGAGAGAGAGAGAGAGAGAGAGAGAGAGAGAGAGAGAGAGAGAGAGAGAGAGAGAGAGAGAGAGGAGAGAGAGAGAGAGAGAGAGAGAGAGAAGAGAGAGGGACTTTGATTTGAATTTTGTGCGTGCGTGGGGGGTGTGCATGCGTGCGTGCGTGCGTGCTTGTGGGCGGGCATGCAGGCAGGCAGGCAGGCGCGCGTGCGTGCGGGGGCGGGTAGCGTGAGTGTGGACGTGTGGGCGTGCAAACGTGGGCCTGAAGGGGGGGGGTGCGTGGATTTGTGGGCACCTTCGAAAGTGCTTTAGAATGTTGGGTCTTGTAAGCGTTGTTGGCAGAACAGCGATGTTGCTTCACATCGCCTTCACATGGCGTATTTCGGTACATTTGCTAGAAGAAGAAAAAAACATAGACGCCTGGTATGGACCACATTTATTGAAAGGCTCCATGGAATGGTAGATGATAGCATAACATACACACACCAGTGTGTTACAGGATGAAGAGCACATGTTTGTTTTTCCACACGGGTGATCTATGACTGTACTGTCTCAATTCACTGGACTGGCACATACCCACAAGGAAATTTCTGTGCTGCTGTGGGGACCAGATATCTTGATTGCAATGCGTTTTGTTGAAGCATTCCTTATAATACCGCCGCTGGTATTAGTTTTGTGCTCAGTGATGTAATGATCTCGTCTTCGTCCCATCGTGGATGTATTAGCATTCTTCGGGCCGGGAGAGGGGACGTGAGGATCTAGGCTAGCCACTATGCACTTCTATGACCTGTGCTAGCCACTAGCCCAGGTCATTGAAGACAATAATTTTGACACTAAAAACAAACGTAAGCAGTCTGCCCTGCCTGTAGGGAAATCTGCATCTTTGCTAACCTGGTTTTGCCCTTCGTATTCTTAAATGATTGGCTTGAGAAAGACTTACTCTAAACTGAGGCTAGTTGGCGATAAGCCTCGCAACAATCACAGGTCTGATTGGCACTGAATAATTATATGTTAACACTGCGGTTTCGACCGAAGACCATCTTCTTTTGCCGAGAACCGCTGGCAAAACAAAGTTATCCTGACCCCAGAACATTTGCAGCTAATTGCGGCTTTCCATCGTAATTCTAAAAGCTCTCCATACGCCAAACCCCACAGCGCCTCAACACTTAAACACGTAAACAAAAAATATCGCTCGGACTGTGAAGCAGAGCCGTGTAACACCTTCGCAAACGTCTCCGTTTATTTTGCACGGGTACGATTCAGAATCAGGCCTGATATCAGACACACTCGCATTACATTCTTACATAACGTGCATCACCCTCTAGCACACTCGCGAAGCGGTGGCGTTTCCACTGCCTCTGGATGTCTGCCAGAAGAACACGTCTACAGTTGTTTAATGACTGAATAGTACCGAACGCTTGCAAGAAAGAAACAAACAAAGAAATTTGGTGCGTGTGCAAAAATGCGAAGCGTTTGTACATTAACGTAAACGCAATAGTCAGAGCGTGACATAGAAATTTTCAACGGAGCGAGATAATTTGGCGAATTAGAGCCGTTCAGGAATGTCGGTGGTAACTCATTTGACATTGTACTGTCAAAGATGGTAACTCAGTTGCGTGTAAAATAGGAAGGCACTATTTCGGGATAAGCTATGGCGTCAAACTGAAACGCCCAGATCGAAGGAAGGAGCGAGCGCGTGGGACTGCGAATATTTGTGCTGAATGTGTGTAATGTAGGGCTGTTTTCTTTTATCTATGTCTCCGAAATCACATATGCTTGTTGATGGCGTGGGTTAGATTAATAAGGTGCAGTCAGGAATTGAGTGAGGATGATTTTAGGCGGAGATTTCAACAGTTGAACATTCAACGGCCGCTGATCGCAGTTCAAACCATGTCAAAATCTCCGAGTAGTTATCTTATCAACCTTGTTAAAATGTGGCAATCAATTTGGACAAAATTCCTTTTGTTTTGGCTGTGGCCAAAACACGTCTATATTTACGTCTTTATCGCTGCAGACACCTATGTGCACGTCATGTATATACAGGATAGATGTCGGAATGCCGCAAGATGACAGTTCGGTCATTATGGTCTTTCAGCTTAGGTTATGCCACAGTGTATGATCGAAGTGCGATATATCTCTCGCGAAATATGTCTGTTCGTTCCTTGATGTCCGTGCGCGAGAGAGCGTGAAAGCACAAGCGTGCTGGTTTATGACGCACTGGTGAGCATTCAGGCCACAGACCTGGGCACTGCACGGGATGGTAACTGGCCCGGAGCACAACTGCTCGACTAGTTCGACCCACACCGGGAGCTCTCAAGGCGGTGCCAGCCACTGAAGAAGCGCCGACGGTGGGAGTGTCCACTGCACGGGACTCACTGCTCGAAATTCCACTTCAAGAGCCTTCACCGCAGGAGCGTTCCGTGCAGGACACTTCACTGCCGATCGGTCCCCGGCTGGGGCGCCCGCCGCGGCGCGAGCTTGGCCGCCTACACATCGCTCGCCTCCACTATGATCTCCTCAACGCCGATGATGGGAGGGTTACGGGCGCCCAGCGGTTCATTCAGTAGGCTCTCCTTTCGAATGACCGGCAGCAAAGTTGACTCCTTGCTGTTGACGAACGGCCCCTCTTGGCGCGTGACGTCCGACGGCTGGTTCTCGTCGATCTTGTTGCCGGTGTCACCTCCCCCTGGGCGAAACTCAACCGACGTCGAGGGCTTCGAAATGTCGCCCTCGGGAAGCGCCTCGATCAGGACCGCCTCTGTCTTGGTGACGACCGGCGGCTCGCGCGAGTCGAGCCGCTGTTCCAGCATCTCGATCAGGAAGGCGTTGTCTTTTGAGTTCTACGGGTGGATGAGCGCGTGTCATGACAGCATAACTGCAAGAGCTGGACTATAAGTGCACCGCAGCGTGGAACAATAAACTGGACGTTAAAAACTAAAAGACTGGCTTTTATCAACAGGTGTTGCTGTTGATCAGCCTTTCCTTGTTCGCGTGCAACGCCCGACGATCGCTTCAGTGGATTATTCTGGGAGCAAGGGTCTTTAGAGTCACGATCGAAATATTATGTCTGAAATAGCGCGAGCATTACCGGTGAAGTGACCCAAATGGTTCGGGCTGAAGGCATTGTTTCGAAGGCTGAATACAATGTACTGGGTAAGAGGGGAATGTGTCAATGCTCAATGTCACGCGTCAAGGTCTGCCCTCAACCGCTGCAGCCCTTTCTGAAGCTGTCCCTTCCGGACTGAGTTCCGTCTGCAACCCCCGTGACGTACCTTCCCGAAGGCGATGATGGTGCCGGCCGGGCCGAGCGGACCTTCGGCCGTGGTGCGGAACACGGGCTGGCGCGCTGGGTGGGCATAGCTGTAGACCAGGGTGCCGCCGTTGTTCGGATACTTGACGCTGTACGAGCCCTGGATGTTGCCGAGCACGTCGCGCGATTCCTCCTTGCTCTGCTCCGGCCCCTCAAAGCGGTAGCTGTAGACGGGCGACGGTCCGACGCTGAAGAGAGACTGGACGTCCTGCGGTCGTGCCCGGACCGCGGCTAGCAAGCTGGCCAGCAACAACAGCACCTGCGGTGTGCAGTGCAGGCGTCAGGACTGGTGGGACTGTTCGTGGTCTGCCGTTCGCACAGCTGTCGGCCGGTGAATCCGTCATGAATAGCGCGTGATGTTTGCCAACAGCTGATTACCGACAAGCTGCGCTAATGCATACCAAGCATGGCCTGGTGAAACCGATATGCACTGCGGTATGGAATGGGAATTAGTCGTTCTTTTGCGTGGCGAGTGATATGTGCCGTTCTGCTGGTGCTGTGTTAGGCACGCGGTTTGTACCAATGCTATATGGATACTCTTGTCCGTTCACATAATGATTGTTATAGGATACACTGAAGGCCCGGCAAATGTTGCACAAACTGGCGCTCTTCCACACGCTGATCACCATAGAGTGACGAATTCACTACATCAGATAGATACTTTATCAATCACCCATAACAATGACTGGCGGAGCGATAAAAATTAAGAACATCAACAATACCAGAGAGCAGAAAAACGTCTTTCCAACGATCACTTCTACCGAAGACTACTGCACATGAAACCAGCTATCAGGCACAGTCTGCGCACAGACATCACGCAAAAAATGCTTTAAATGCCTGGTGCACATCTGATCGGCATCGCTTAACGCCCTCTCATACGGGATACGTCTCTGCCGGCTGAACATTAGAAAGCATTCTTCACACGCACGCAGACGGTCAGCTTTTCATTTAGTGCATATCCGTACCAGCTCAGAAGTCTTCCGTTGTTCACCGCATACGCGGTCACTGGTCTGAGATAGTGATCATTGCACCCTTTTTTGCCCAATGTTTCAAAATCTCAGGTGTAATGTCTTTTAGCATGTAACACGAATAAAAGGCCCAAATTTCAATAATCTTTCAAAAACTGACGTCATGCACGCACTAATGTGCAACACAGACATCAGCAATGATGACGGCATGCTCGCGCTGTTCTTCCAGGACTACACCATGAAAGGCTTCAAACGCGGCGTGATGAGCTAGCGAGGCGGCGGTGGTGGTGGCGGCTGGCGCAGCGACGGAAGCTCCATAATTACTTGTTTCTTCCGGCGGCCATCCTCTGTCCTATTTTATCGTTTTCAGGGCAGGTGACCTAATGAAGTCCGGAGACTTATGCATCGATTTTTCGTCATGTGTTCTTATCGGTCATGATTTAAAATGAAGTAAACAAACACACAAAAAATGAGCATCTCATCTGGGTCTGTCTGTCAATCAAAGGGATCACCTTCGCAAATGTACAGCTTTGGGAGAAACGGGTGGAAAAACATAGATAAGTGTGAGTTTGCCACGTCACTACCAATTCCAGCCTTGTCCTTTGCGATAAATAATTCGGGTAGGATGATGAATACCGCGTACTTTCTTGACCTCCAATCTCCCGGATAACTACGCTCCTGCAGCACCCAAAACTACGTACATTTTAAGTCCCGCGGCATTACCGTTATGACCTGAATGAAACTGGCACTACATGATCTATCCCCAGACATTCGCGTCTTTATCCACCTCCGTAAACTGTAGCGGCGTTGTAGCACAAACCAGATCCACCTTTCCCGGTACGGCTGTTTATGCGTGGCACCAGCTCCAGGGTCCATAATCCCAAGTCCGGGCAGGTAGAGTTGGTGCAGGTCATGATGGGACCGCAACTTTCTTAATTCTACACGCACATATGCTAAACGCGAGCAACTCCAACGTATACGGATGCGTGGTTTAGGACGGAATTTCACTCCTCACGCACCATACATCACTAAGCCACCCTTTCATCAATTTCGTGCTAAGTATTTCATTTTTATAATTACATACAGGCTGGTGCTCAGAGAAAGCATGATTCTGCGTTAGTCACCAGTTGTGGTCTGCCATCCCCGAGCGCATAACCAAATATGAGAGGGCTGGTCAAATCAGTAGAGATGCAAACTTCCTGTACAAGCAGAGGATGCTACCTTCCTTTGCCTTTTCCGTTGTGCTATTGTCAGTCAGTCAGTCAGCAAGCATCAGTTCGAATCAATGACTTCGCCACGTGTGAAGAAGGGAGGGGAGGAATTCGAAATGTTGTTCCTCTGATGCGTGCGCAAGATCGAACGCATAGAATCCTTCACTGTAATACGGACGTTGCAGCTTATAATGAAGCTTCGCCGTTCTCGCTGGTGTTAAAGATGAGCTGAACCTCTGACTGTTGTGCCGGAAATTGACGGCTCCTGACAAATTTACAGCATTGGAGTGTTGCAGCTATCCAAAGGTTGTAAGTGTCGGACCTTGTTCCAGGTACACACACAAATACAGACTGAAATAACCGTATTTCTGTAACCACGAAAAAGAAGCGAATTGTTATGGACAAGTTGAATCGGCCCCTTTTCGTATGGCAAGGGCTACTCGATCGATTCCCTCGCGGAAAACCACGTTTGATTGCTAGCGTTGCGGACTACGTGCCTGTAAAATCGGGACTCGGAAATTTTGGCATCGGCGAATACATGAAGCAAAAAAGTGGAAACAGGCAGCACGCGTCAGCACGGGTGTAGTTTCCTATTCAGCTGAGTAGGGGGACCTTCAGCCCCCCCTCCCCGCCACACTCGGGCTCCAGCCCCCAACTTTGAGAAGACAGGTGACCAAAACTGAGAATAAACCTATTGGTTGGCAAATTTTGGGTAGATCGGGATATTTTTCACTGTCCAGGCCCCCTCCCCAACTCATTTTGTGAAACTACGCTGCCATGCGTCAGCCATACGCGGGCCCTGGAGTGCCTCCTGGTAGCGGCCTCATCCGAGCGCTGAGCGCATACCCCGTAAAGGAGTTACCAAAGGGCTTACTGCCGGCGGAGGACCTCCAGGTACTTGTAGTTTTGTCCCATCACTATCCACTCTCCGTCATCCCATTGCCCTAAATGTTCATTACTAGCCGAAAGGACTCTAATCCGAATCAAACCGAGGCGGAAACCGCTGTCCTCTGGAGGCTTCCACTCGTCTTTCCTGCAGCACCCGTTCTCCCCCCCCCCCCCCCCCACCCCCCCCCCCCCATCTCAGTCGCCAGCGCTGTCTGACCTGGCCTCGTGTCCGGAACTCGGCGAATGAGTTCAATGGCCGTGACCTTCCGCGCGACCTTGGCGACGGCCGGGGCGCGGTCGGTACGACTGCACCTACTGTGGGAGCACGTGAGAACCGAGGACCTCATACGACCACGCACGAAGCCGGCGACTGCTGTCCGCCAGCCTCAGACGACGGGCCGGCGATGTCTCCACAGCGCGCTGATGGCTGCCCGCCAGTGGCTCGTGCGTGAGCTGATGGGGCCTGAAGCCGGCCTTGACGCCCTGGGGCGGCCGCCCGGCCCACGTGCTGGACCGGCCGCCCGCCGGGCGGGGTGGAGGAGTGCGTCGGTTCGGAGGCGCCGGCGGGGCACCGCGCCGAGCAGGCAGGCGAGCGGTCAGTCCGGAGGGACGTCTCGGTAGATGCTGCCTGGACGTAATGACTGGCTGTTGGGGTTGAGCTTCAGCTGTGACGGGTCAGCTGGTACCCGTCGGGGAAGTTTGCGTGGAAAAAACGCTCAAATCTTAGACACCCGCACTTCACGCGAGGGATTTCCTGAGTTGATCGACGGAGGCCGCCCATGTAAGGTGCGCTTCAGTGTTCTTATAGACTTGAATTCAAACATTAGTCGCATCATGCTTAGTCTCGGCTGATTGATTCCCAGTGCACGTGCACGGCTAAACGTAGTGTGAAATAAAGAGGACATCCTTCCAACGCCTATGGTGTCACGATTGCTTACCGTCTATCCTTGGTAAATAAACACACATCAGCTGCAAGTAACACTGCATGCAAACATTCAAACGCACACAGTGTGGCCTGATCTCCTAATCTTTTCATTCAGCCTGCTGGCAATGCTATTAATTTTCCATGACCTGGAGGACGGTGCGATTTTAGGTTAGAAGGCTTACGTCTCCTAGTTTGAGCCGTGGTTTTGCGGCATCCCCTGCGTGTGGATGCATGGTGGATGGCGCTGGCTTGAAAACTAGACGGAGAATGGGTAACAACAAGCGGCCCAGCGGTATAGCACCACCTCCAGCCACATAACACTCATTCACATCTCAATGGTTTACAACTGTATAGCACCACCCCCAGCCACATAACATTCATTTACATCTCAATGGTTTACAACTACATAGCACCACCTCCAGCCACATAACATTCATTCACATCTGAAAGGTTTATAGCAGGTCTTGATTTCTTTTCTCGTCTTTTGATACGGGTGTTTTTTTTACGCGCACTGGACGCGCGTACATAATGAGGCTATAAGCCATACATTTACCTCCGCCATTCCTTTCTTGAATGCGTCGTACTTTTCGACAGCTACATTGGCGGTGGCTGATCAGTTGCAGCTTTCTTGAATACCCAAAGATGTAAGGTGTTTTAAGTGAATGATGAGCACGACTAATACTGCAACAAACAGGCTATCTTGAATCCAAATTTGAGTGCCCTTGGATATGTATTAAGTGACACAATGTTCCCATGACGTCACCTGTTTGGCAAGCGCGTGCAACGTACGAAGCAAACACGCTCACATCACCATGCCATAGTTTTCAATGCCTGTCTGAACTGGCGGTCCCTTGTGTGTTAGGGCGCCATATTCATAGCATACAACAGGCTTTCAGTGGCTTGGCCTTGACACAACTTGACTCTTCTATGTATATATATATATATATATATATATATATATATATATATACATAGAATATATGACATGAAAAGTCCCGACCCTACCAGTCGTACGGACGCTGTAACCGACACCGGTTATGGACGGGCATGAATTCCGTCACGCGAGCTGGAATTTGTGACAATTGCGAATTCCATGTCGATCCACAGATCCACCTCTGCGTCTGGTGAAGACAGCTGACACAGGCAGACATGCTCCTTATTCAGTTGTTCAGTTGGCTTTGTTACATGCGTTTAGATATCGAAGCGTCTGGATGTTTTCGTATTGTTTGAGATGCATTTGATGCGTTTTCAGTTGCAAGTCCGTCGA